ACTTCTTTCTAGTTTCTGAAATCCAGGAGCTTTAAAAAAATAAAAAAAGTTATGGGCTACTAACGGGGAAAAATTCAAGTCTTATAGGTTCTTATGTATAATGGCGGCAAGGACTCAAGGACTCTAGGCTTAAAAGCAATACATTCCAAGCCATTAAATATCATAATTTTTTTCTTATAGCAGATCATAAATCAACCAACATGTTTAAAGCTTCTGGACACCAGAGATCATAAAAAAATTAAGTTATAAAGCTGAAGTCCTTTTGGGACTCCGCTATTAAAACTCTATTCCAAAGGTTTAATACTTAATAGGTTTAAATAACTTTTACAATCAAAAAATGAATAAATTACATCAATAAGAGTTACAAATTTTGTTGACTTTACAATAAGAACGCAGATACTCGCAGAAGGTCATAAGATCTTGTTATCGAGAACTGGCTAAACAGATTTTAAATAAAAAAATGTTTAAGGTGCTTTAAATTGTTATTATACTTTGGCAACATTTGAAAGTTATCTATTTATAATAAAGTGACAAATTGCGTGTCATACTTTTTTTAGAATCTGCTGTGAATTAAATTAAAAATCATGAAAGGTCAAATTTCAAGACCTTATTTTAAAGATAAATTTTTAATATAATTTTGGTCCATAATAATCTAACTACCACATGTATTAATACATATATTTGAAAGTATCCTGCATTTGGTTGTAATTGTTAATTTTCAATGTGATATTCATTACATTTTAGTTCACAAAATTATAAAAAGGTTCTAAACTCAAGTCTATGTAACTATGGTTTGTTGTTAATGGATTGAACTTCTTCGTCAATAATAAAAATAATTGTTATTGTAACATGTTAACCATGTTGCTTATTATTTGTGTCTATTTTGTATATATGTTGTTACTATATTGTATAAGTATACATGTAATAAACTATTAAGTTGTGCTTATGTTTATTTTTATTTTATTAAAGTTAAAACGGATGCAAGCACTTAAGAAGACAATAACGTTACAAATTGAAGCAGAAAGTTATAACGAATCATGTTGACGATTCGATCTGAATCGCATAAAAGTACCATTGTCGAATAATTATGAATAATAATTTGTATTGCAATTGTGTAAATATATTTTAAAATTTAAGCCTGTTTTTCAAATTTATTCATAATAATTAAAATTGTCAACATTCATGTGTTAAATGCATTTTATTGTCCTTAAACTAATGAAAAATACGCCAATTTTAAACCAAAAAATTACAGTCGATTATGCTAAAAACAATTTTAAATAACTAAGAAGACGGGTTCTAAAAGGAAATATAGAGACTTCAAAATGGATCGCCCAATAAAAGTCGATTTATTCATCTTTCATACAAATATATATTAAAACTTTATTGTTTAAAAAAACACTTTCTGGTGATTCTTTATTGCGTACATAACAATTTCTGAATTAATTTTGAAAATTATTTTTTTTTAAAAAAGAAATTTATTTTTTTTAAATAATTTTTAAATACATCATTGCAATTACTTTTTTTGTTAAATAGATAAAGTTTCGTATGGGATGTGTTGTTACACCACAAATAACATAATAATCATAATATATTAACATTGTTTATCATATCATATATGTCATATCATATTATATCATATATGTATTCTGAAAAATAATTTCATGGATATTTACATATAGTAATTCTACTAATATCAAGTAAACACCAAAAATATAGATCTTTATATATATAATTAGTAATAATTATAGGAATAATAACAATAATAATAAAAACAATATTTATAGTAACAAATATAAGAACCAGAATAATAATAAAAAATAAAAAAACATCAATAACAATTATAATATTAATTAAATTAAAAAAATAATAAGTCACTTGTTTTTATAAACACGATAGCTAAATATACATATAAGTTAGTTACCAACAATTGACTGATAAAACGTAGCAAATAACAATAACATTTATTTAAATTGAAAATAATAAAATATGAATAATAATAGTAAAGATAAAAATAGCAATAATTGTGGCTACGATAAATATTTAGAACTAAAAAAAATAAAACTATAACAAAAAACATGATAAAAATTAAAGGTAAAATAAAGAAAAACAAAAAAGCATTAAAAAAATGAGACAGTTTAATATTGTTACATGCACACACAAATAGAAATATAAAGATATATACACATACTTACCCACATACATAGATACACACATATATACACACGCGCGTGTACATGCACTCAGATAGCTATGTATACATGTAAATGTAGATACATATATATATATACAGCTTTAAAAATATATACATTTTTTAAAATGTCCAACTAACATAAAGTTAAAAACATTTAAGTTAAAAAAATATACGATGCAAACAATGCACTAAATTATATAACAAAATGAATTATACTCTACAAAGCCCAATTAACAATACACAAGAATACAAAAACAAAATACAACAACAACAAAAAAGACAAACGTCCCTCAATATTAGTAAAATTAAAAAAATATTCTTTTACGTTTCTTCAAAAACGGAGCAATTTTTATAATTTGTTTTAATTGCTTTTAATTACTTTTCATTTTCGAATGTTTTTTTTGTTTAACTTACTTTTCTCGTTTCTTTTTATGTTTTTTTTTTTTTTTGTTAGTTCCTTTAATTTGTTTTTTTTTTTGTTTTTTGCTTTTTTGTTTCCTTATTTTTCTTTTTTTTACTCTCTTTATATTTATTATAATTATATAAGTATTTATAAAAGTAAATTAACTTTAAACATCTATTATAGTTTGTAAATTATTTTTTAAAATTTTTTTTTATTAAAATACAATATTTCTAGGGGTTATATATACCCTCGTTATTCAAGTAATATGTTTACATCAAACATTAACCATTAAGTTGGTTTAATGTTAAAATTATTTTTTAACATTGAAATTAAATTCTATATTAAGCTAAAATTGGTTTAGGAAACTTAAAATCTAAGTTAGTCAAAGAAACATAAAACATAATTTATGGTAACTGAAAAATTATTGATATTGATAAAAAAAAAAAAACTGATAGAAATGTTTGTTTCATAGAAAAGGAAATATATAAAATGTATGTATATTATTGCGTAGATTACTTGAATAATTTTGCTTTATTTTATATTTTTGTTGTCATATCCATAACTTTTCTGTAAAAAAATTTGATTGGTATTAACACATTTATCTTTTATATTCTTATAGTTGAATAGGAATAATATAAAGATAACATTTTCTTTATAAATATAGTATAAGAATGTTATTGTATTATGCAAAGTTTTTGAAGTCAAAAATTGGATACCAAAGTATTACTAACACAGGAAGCACTAAATATGAAAAGTTACCAAGTCTATATATCTACATTTGTTTCTGTTTTTGTTCATGAAAATAAAGATAATATTCCACTTGTTACAACTAAAACTAATAAGACTATACAATTATATGTAGACAATCTGATCACTCGTGACTCAATTGAAAAGAAGTTAGAACACTTAGATATCAACAAATCTGTTGGTATAGATGGAATTAGTCCATATGTAATGAACAAATGTCATAGCACCATTTGCGAACCATTAATACTAATGTTCAAAAAATCTCTAGAAGAAGAAAAAGTACCAGAGTTATGGAAATTGGCAAATGTCACTCCTTTATTTAAAAAAGGAGAAAAAAGTGGTGCATCAAATTATAGACAGATTTCACTAACATCAATAGCATGTAAAGTGTTAGAATCAATCATTAGAGACGAAATGATGAATTATTTATTGACGAATGGTTTACTAAATGAAAATCAACACGGATTTAGAAAAAATAAAAGCTACTTAACTAACTTATTGGAGACCTTAGATATCCTCACAGATGCTTTAGAAAATAATTGTTCTATAGATATGCTTTATCTGGATTTTGCTAAAGCATTTGATAAAATACCACATTCACGTTTAGTCCATAAATTAAAATCATATGGGATTATAGGCAACTATCTAAAATGGATAAAAGAGTTCTGAAGCAATAAAAAGCAGAGATTTGTTCTTGGGGACCGTGTATCAAATTGGTAATCTGTTATCAGCGGTGTACCACAAGGATTAGTTCTGGGACCGTTACTATTTCTGTTATTCATAAATGATCTACCGGATCATGTGAATAAGAACATAAAACTTTACGTCGATGATAGTAAAATTATTAACATAATAAGCAATTCATGTGATGCTACAAAACTTTAATTAGACATAGACAATATCATGGCATGGTCATCTACTTGGCAAACAGAATTTAATTATGACAAATGCAAGATTATGAATATTGGAAGAAAAAATCCTAATCGTCTGTTCATAATGCATGATATTGACACCAATTTAAATCACAGCATATCAGTTACTGAAACTGAAAGAGATTTGGGTATAATGATACAATTTGATCTAAAATGGAAAGCTCAAGTTGATACAGCGGTTGGCAGGGCAAACTCAATGCTTGGTATAATAAGAAGAACATTCAAATACGTTAACACACAAATGGTGAAAAAGTTGTACGTAACATTTGTTCGGCCACACCTTGAATTTGCGATTCAAGCTTGGTGTCCATTTTTAAGACAAGACATCGATAAAATTGAGAAAATCCAAAGAAGAGCCACAAAGTTAGCGCCAGCATAAAAAAAATACCATATGAGAAAAGATTAGATATTATGAAATTAATAACTCTAGAAGAACGGCGAATACGTGATCTAATCCAACAGTATAAAATTCAACATGGGTTTGATAAAGTAAAATGGGTTTCAAACTACAATTATACCGCGTCACAAGAAGGCCCCCATCTGAGGCAACATAAATTCAAATTAAAAAAACTATTCTGCAAGAATGCTATCCGATCACATTTTTTCTCTAATCGTATAGTCAACATATGAAATAATCTACCGAGTGACATAATAGAAGCAGAATCAATAAATCAGATCGAAAACAAACTAGATGAATCAAATATTTGCATAAACATTTTATTACAAAATTGTTTTTAAGATAATTTGGTTTAGAGATTTAGGAATTGTGCAAAGCTGATACAGTGCAATATCAACTGTTATTGCGCTCCACAACTGTTAACACCAGTTGTTACAGCTACTTCTTATTATTATTTGAACACATAAGTGATTTTATCAAAATAATTTGAAGTATTTATTGTTGCCACATAAACGTAGCAAATAAGAATGAAGCTATGGCAGTAAACGTAATGTTGACACAAAAATGCCAAATCTCAAGTTGAATGGTTCATCTAAATCTAGTAAGTTTACACTTAATCAAATAATTTATTAATATTTCTGTTTTCACTGTTTAAATAAAGGAAAAGTTATATCACTTATTTTTACTATTAATAATGACTAGATTTATTGTGTTTTATAAAACAGTTTCTGTATATAAAAATATTTAGGAAGACTGAGAGGCATTTTAATTTTTATTTTTAATTTTTTTACTTATGTTTTGTTTATTCAAAATATCTTTTACAATTAAAAAATGAATAAAATACATACAACAAGAGTTAAAAATTTTGTTGACTTTACAATAAGAACGCAAATACTCGCAGAAGATCAGATGACCTTGTCATCGAGAACCGCCTAAACAGATTTTAAATAAAAAAATGTTTAAGATGCTTTAAATTGTAGTTATACTGTGGCAACAGTTTAACGTTATCTATTTATAATAAATTGAAAAATTACGTTTTATATACTTTATTAAAAAACTGCTGTTAATTAAATTAAATATCATGAAATGTCAAATCTCAAGAAATGGAAATTTTAATGGAGTTTTGGTCCATAATAATCCAACTACCACATGTTTTAATAAATTTATTTGTAAGTATCCTGTATTTGGTTGTATTTGTAAATTTTTATTGTGATAGTAATTGTATCTTAGTTCAGAAAGTTGTAAAAAGATCCTTAACTCAAGTCTGTGTAACTAAAGATTGTTAATGGATTGAACTTTTTCGTCAATAATTAAAATAGTTGTTATTGTAACATGATAACCATGTTGTTTACAAGTTGTGACGATCTTGAATATATGTTATTACTAAATTGTATAAGTATATATGTAATAAATTATTAAGTTGTGCTTATGTTTATTTTTATTTTATTAAAGTTAAAACGGATGCAAGCACTAAAGAAGACAATAGCGATACACATTGAAGAGAAAGTTTATAAAGAATCATGTTGACGATTGGACATGAATCGCAGAAAAGCACCATTGTCGAATGATTATGAATCAAATCTTTGTATTATAACTGCGTAAATATATTTTAAAATTTAAATCTTTTTTCAAATTTATTCATAAAAATTAAAATTGCCAATAATCATATTTTTAATACATTTTATTGTCATTTAATAAATGAAAAATACGCTTATTTTAAACCAAAAAATTGTAGTCGATTCTGCAAAAAACAACTTTATATAATTAAGAAAATGGAGTCTAAATAGAAAATATAGGGACTTCAAATGGGATTGCCCGATGAAAATTCATAACAATCCCATGAGCGACCCAGATAGTAAACAAAGACAAAATCACGATGGTTTGTGATTTTGTCTTTTTAATTTCTATTTGACATTGAAGAAAATTATTTAAAGGTTTTTTAAAAATAATAATGACTTATCGCCCAGCAAATTGTGCATTTTATTTAAAAATTTATTTAAAAATTTTTCATTACTTTAAATAAAATTTTTCTTGAAATTTATAAAAAGCTAATTACAAGTACTTAAAGTGTATTTTAGATTTATGCATAACAGTTAATTAAAGTTTTCTATGGTTTATAATTTCATTTTCTATTTTGCTTGAAAAAAGTTGATATGTGTAGTAATTTATTCCATCCGTCTGATTTATTCCATCCCAATGCGTAAACCTCAAAATGAGGTTAAGATTTTGGGTTATAACTATTAGAAGTGTACACGTCCGTACTAACTTTATAAATATAAACAAGGAGGGAAAACGCTTATTCTAAACGTTTCCTACCCACTAAGCCTTAGAAGATAGGAATTCTAGTTTACATTAAGATAATATTAGAAAGGCTATAAAAAAAAGAGTTATAATAATAAGGAATAAAAAGCTATTAACTAATTAGTTATTTATTTACATAAAAAAATTATACAAATACTTTTAAAATATAAGAGTATTTGTAAAGGTTCACTGGATTTTGAAATTTACTGAATTGTTCTGAATATATTTAGACATATCTAAATTATTATCTTTTCTAACTATTACCTCCCTTTTGTAAATCGCTCAATGTGATCAAAGGAATTAAATAATAATGGTAAAAGTTTAATCACTATATTTTATTCAAAAATTAGTTGATAAGTTGTATTATTTCTGGTCTAAATTCTGATTAAATGAGTTATATTAGAAGGGGATGGGAGGGTCCAAAAATCTATATTTTTTGTTTAACCAGTTATTTATAATTAGTTTTTTGAGAAAAGTTCAAAAAACAAATCAGTTTTTGCTAACTTTTTATGGATAACCTTCTACTTCTATTTTAAAGTTTAAAGATATAAAAAATAAAAGTCTAAGCAATAGTTTCTTTGCGTATAAAGTTAAGCAACTTTTCTTTTAAATTTATGCTATTCAAATTTTGATTGAATAAATTTGAATTTTAGTCGTTGCGTTTGAGAAAAAAAAAAGTTTTATCTGAAGTCTTTTTCTAAAAAAACGTTTTAAATAAGTAAAACGACAGATTGCTCAAAAAAAAAGTGTTGTCTGAAGTCTCCTTCTGAACAAAACACTTTAAGTAATCAAAATAAGAGATTGCTTCAAAATATCTAAATATCCTTTTTTATATTTTTTTTTTATCGTTATTCAAGCTATCAAGAAGGCTAATCAAGATTTAATTTTTTTTTTTCACTTTTCTTTAATGAAGTAAAGAATAAATCTTCTTTTAAAGGGCCAGTCAGTAGAAGTTCAGTTAAATTCTTAAGGTTTAACAACTCTAAAGGTAAACAGGCTAAAGGAATACCGCTACCTAAAAGGCTTTATAAAAAACAAACTGGGTGATCAAATTTTGAAAGTTTCTGCTTTACTCTAAAACGCAGTGAATAGTTACTTAAAAAAAACTCTAGAAGCAGTATATAAGTATACCTCAAAGAGATTGAATGATTGCATCATTCACGCTAAAATATTTTGGCAAAGTTAACCTTAGGACTACAAAAAGGAGAAAAGTATTATATGTTTGGGATACAATGTAGGTCATTGTTACGGAGGTCTATTCTATTTAAATACATGATTATTAATATAAAAATACAAACATCCATCTTGTCTACCAAAGAACATGCTCATAACCTAGATGTTCTATAAGGAAAGTTCCCGCTGGAATCTCTATGATGACTTTTATAGTTATTTTTCATTTTCAATAGTAAATAACAAACTGTATGAATTATTTTCATATATAATGCTTAATTTTTTTTTTGTTACTTATAAATCATAAGATATATTATTGATAAATTAAACAGAAAAAGATTTCTAGTTTTCTACTTTCCTTATATTTAATGATTATAATAATTTCATCTATTTCTAACAATGCCTTTTTTTCTCAATATATTAACTTTTGTTAAAATTGAAGTAAAAGGCAAAATAATTAAAATAAAAAAAAAATGATAACAGTTTTCAGAATCAGCATGAAAAACTAATTAAGAAATATTCGTTAAACTATAAAAAATCTAAAAAAGACGATTAGGGACACCCTAATATTAGGTACGTGGACTGATTTTTATAAATTAATCAAATACTAGAATGTTATATATCATTAGAAAGCCCTAAAAGGCAGTATTTTAAAGGTGACAAAATTATAAACATTGGGCAATTTTATAAAACGTTATGACGCTTTTAGTAGCAAATTTTCTATATAAAAATTTCTTGATAAGACTGTGGTCTAAAAAAAGTTTTTTTTTCACATAAACTTTTTTAATTTTGCCATATACTCCTTTAACTAATTCTTATTTAAATATCTATAACTTGGTATCAAAAGATAGATGTAAAAAGGGGCTATAATTTCAAACTTATTTCTAAGTATAGGGTGCATCCAGGGATCTGGAGGGAGACCTACACCTCACAAAAGTACAATTTTTTTCATAAAAGAGTGTGTGTTTTTTTTAACTATTATTATTTATATAGAAAAAGATGTTATTGCCTTATTCCACATCACTAGCGAATAATACACTCTATCTTAAAGTTGGATGTTGGGTATGATTTAACACACCCTATCAAGTTTTCTTTTTTTAAATATTTTAATCTTTACTTATACGATTAATTCTTGTATAAAAAATAAAAAATATATTTCGATACTTAGAAAAAAGTAACTAGTAGTGTATAAATTGCTTTCATGGAAGGAAGCGCAAGCCGCCCCACTTCCACCCCGTACCTAAAAGAAAGGAAAATTTTAATGAGAATTCAACAAAAAATGTTTAAAAATGCTTTTTTAAACACAGATAAAATAGTATAAAAAAGTATTTTTTATACTATTTTATCTACTTACTTCAGCTACTCACTCCAACCTAAAAAAAGCCACACAAAAACAGCAAGTCTTTTGAAATAAAAAAAGTAATTAGCTATAGTCTTGGTTTTTAGTAAATGATTTGTTTTAAATTTTATTTATGAATTAAAATAAATCATTGCTAACGATTGATACCATGTGAAGGCCAGAGCTGTCTAGCAAAAAAATTGCAAGCCACAAAGCCTGCTGTACCTATTTTCAAGCCACAAAACTTGTTGTACCTTATTGCAAGTCAATAAACTTGTTGTCCCCGTTTGCAAGCTACAAAAGTTGCGGTACCCATTTGCAAGCCACAAAACTTGCTGTAGGATAGACATGATATGTTAACTCTAAATGCAAAGAAATTATAAACATTTATATTAGTTAAGATTTGATTTTATATCAACCCTTACATTTAAAAAATTATAAACTTCTAATAATAATTTATTTATTTAAAATGAATATTTTTATAAAATATAAATAAGCATTAAAGTTTATCAAAAACAAAGAACAATCATAAAAAAACATTTCAATTTATACATTTACCTGGAGAAGATTGTACTGCAGGAAGTAAAAATTAAAAAAAGATGTAAGCAACGAAAATAAAATAAAATTGGGATTAAATCTATAGTATAGCTTTAATGAGATAGACTATGTACTCCTAATAAAGATTTAGTTTTTTAACTTTCCAACCATAGATGCAGCTACAAATCAAAAAAAAAAATGCAATTAACAAAATAAATGAACTTTTTGGGCAAATCAAAACATTACTGAAAAATGATTAGTTTTTAAACATATTACTTGTGACAGATATAGATGGTAAAGAAATATGTCAACCAATCAAAAAAAAAATTGATTTGGGCATTAAATTAATACAGATATTGAAAAGTAACAACTTTAAACTTACCAATTGTAGCATATTGACGATAGTAGATGCAGATGGCATGTAAAAAACAACAACATTTAATTAAAAAGACTTAAAATTTTGCCATCTTATAGATCATAGATTTAAAAGTAGTAATTTTTAATAATACGCACTGTGGAGGATGTAGATTCAACTAAAATCATGAAACGATGAAATAATCAAAGAAATAAACAAACAAAAAAAAGTTGAAAACGAGAATAAACAAATACACTGCTAAAAAAGAATTGACTTTTAAACTTACCAACTGTATCAGATGTAGATGGAACTAAAAACAAAAAGGATGTTATCAAAAAAAAAAACGATATATTAAACAATAATAAATCTTTCAAAAGTTAAAAAATAACAGCTTTTAAATTTACTAATTATAGTCGTTGAAAAAATGACTTTAATAAAAAAGATATGAAATAAAGCAAAGCATACATCTTTCTACTTATATAAACATAACCAAAGCTTCAATATTCAAACTTACCAGTGGAAGGATGAGTTGATTCGACTAAAATTAACAAGAAAATTGAATATCAAAATAAACGAAACACTTTAAGTTTGATTACAGTAAGTACTTAAGTAACAACAATCAAATAAATTCTGAAAAATGTGCTTGAACCTTATTGACTAAATGTATAATGAAAAAATAATTACACAAGTAAACATTAGGAAACGTTGTATAATGATTTAAACAACAACAAAGAATAAAGTGTTTTACACCAAGTAAACGTTTAAAAGACTATAAAAATGATATCTTTTGTATTAAAATACTTTTAAAATATTATCATGTTTATTTTATTATAAGTGACACCAAAAACTATGTTTTTCATGTACTTACGGAATCTCAAAAACTGATTAAACAATGAGCCTGTATCTAAACAAGAA